TAGAAAAGTGCAAGAGGCGAGAGACGTGGGCGAGAGGCCAACTTTCTTTCAAACAGTCTGTGATGAGAGCGACGTTTGCTACATGATCATGATATATATATATATATATCTTCTTCTTTGCGTTCACCAGCTGTACACTCTGGTGGAAAGTTCTAGTTGTTCGTCCACTTCTGAACTGCAGTCCTGCTCCAGAACCTAAGTGTTGCGTGTGCATCAGTTTTACAGATCTGATTCACTTGAATGCAGACTGTAGGTTCCTTGCCTCTCAGGCAGATGCACTCCGACTTCAAAGGAAGCTCCCCAATTAGTCGACTTTTACGACATCCTTTTGGGTAGGCAGAGGGTCTATTCTAGTTTTCCCCACGATGGGGCCCCGGAATCCAACTAGGGATATATATATATATATATATATATATATATATATATATATATATATATATATATATATATATATATATATATATATATATATCCCTAGTTCATATGTTCATATATATATTTGTGTGTGTGTGTGTGTGTGTGTGTGTGTGTGTGTGTGTGTGTGTGTGATAAAAGGTCCTTAACAACGAGACGTTTTTTTTGGGGGGGGGGGGTGGGGGGGGTGCGGACTGAACTGGAAACCCACACTGGCTCAGTCTTAAATATTCTTGACCCACACCCCTACCCACACCCCTACCCACACCCCTACCCACATCCCTACCCACACCCCTACCCACACCCCTACCCACACCCCTACCCACACCCCTACCCACACTCCAACTCGCCCCCAACTCCACCCCCAATGATTTTGTCAAGAGATCAAGCAGTACTATTAAACTATAATTAAAGAAAAAAAATTCTCTTTACAAGTATATGTTTATAAGTTTCACATTGTTTCAAATGTACTGTTATATTTACGTACTATTCAGGATTGCATTACTATTATTAACATCACAACTATTGTTATCATTCAATTTTTTAATCTTTATTATGCTTTCAAACCGAAGCCATCCCCTTCTTTTTGTCTATCAAGCATGAAGAGAGGCGTGGAATGATGATGATAAGGAGGAGGAAAAGGACGATGATGATTTTCTGATGATGACAATGCCTATGAGGATGATGATGACGTGCAACGAACGTGATCTTTCACCAACAAACGACAACATCAACATAATTGATTAAAATCTGCCCCCAGATCACTAGCTAATAACACCGATTTAAACGGAATGCGCCGGTTAAATGCAGACTATTTTTTATTTGCATTGCAAACGAAACAAAATAAAAACCCGACCTGGATGCCGTCATGAAATATGCATTGTTCAGTTGTGTGACATTGTAAGTCAGTAGTGATTGTCGTGTGCGGACACTTGACACCGTAGAAAAACACTTTCATACTAGTGTTATTCGGGTGAAAGCAGAAATAACATAACTCGGGCGCCATGTCATTGCGTCGCCTCAAATTGTCATTCAAGAGAATTTCCGATTCCAACTTTTTCTATTGAGGTTAACGGTATGTCTTTGAGTATAGATTTCAATTTCTAAGTCTTTTCTTTGCTTCTGTAAGTGCTGATCAATGCATGTTAATTTGGTTTTCGTTGTAGTTATTTTATTTCGGCTGTGAGTATTTCTTTCAGTAGAGGTAGAGATTCTAACTTTTAAATTGTTTAGCTTTTGTGTCCCAATTGGGGTTGGCTTGGGTAAAAAAAAAAGGGAGGGGGGTGGGAGGGTTAAATAGACCCAACCGAACACTTACAACCAAGTAGTAAAAGGCGACTTATTCAGTTTTTGCTGGAATCGGAAGTGTTTGGGGTTAAAGGCACAGATATCGCAGCCTAGCTATAAACCACAAAATGAAGTGATAATCACCCTTTTACGGACAAACGAAGAAGAAAAAGCAGAAGAAAAAGAAGGAAAGGAAGAGAAGAAGAAGAAGAGAAGAAGAAGAAGAAGAAGAAGAAGAAGAAGAAGAAGAAGAAGAAGAAGAAGAAGAAGAAGAAGAAGAAGAAGAAGAAGAAGAAAATGAAGAAAGAGAAGAAGAATGGTGTATTGTGTTGCCTAACCTCATTCTTTTCTTTGCTTCTTGTATCAGTGTCTGATAATGTATTATTTTTCAATGTTCCTACGAGGGTATTGCAGGCCGCGGTAACGCTGTGCCTTGACGTTTGCTTCATTCGAGCCCTCACCCAGTCAGATTTTAAAAAATGTTGCCCTGGTTCACAGGCCGATACGAAACAATTTGCAATAGAAAATGTCTTTAAAAGTACATAAGACTGGCATAGTGTTGATGTGTACAAGCTGAAGTCTAGGATCACATGTCTAATACGACAATGTGGTCCACAGAGAAGAACACACACTAACTTACTATAAACTGTGTTTCTAGATTTTACCACAAGTTGACTTTTTACATTTTACTTTCTATTGCACACAGAATTGCGCGCGCGTTCACACACACATACCCACTAAAAATGCACACACACACACACACACACACACACACACGCATATATGTGTGTGTGTTGGTGCTACCTATAGTCTTGGGAAGTAAAGGCTGACCACATCACCAACCAAGTGCCGATTGGTATATACAGTATAGGGCTAGCCCAATATGCCCAAAACGATAAAGGCACGGAGAAGAGTTCTTTACTTACTTTGCTCATAGAACAGCGGGTTGCAAACTGTTCCTTTCCCAGGCTGCCAAACAGCACAAGTGGAAATTGACTGAAATGATAAAGTTCTACTCTTTCTTCTTCTTCGTCACGTTCATCGGCAGTAAACTATGGCGAACGATTTTGGTGGTTCCTCCACTTCTGCAGTTTGGTCGTGTTCCAGAACTTGAGTACTGCATGTACTTCGGCTTTACATATCCGGCTTATTTGTACGCAGAATGTTTGTTCCTTGCATCTCAGTCAACTCTTGTTATGGGGGCAGTGAGTCTGTTCTGTTTTTGCACCCCACACTGTAATTAAAACCCGCACTGGGAATCAGGATGATTCATGAATTCAATGGAAACTGTATCACAACAGGAATCACAGACAGGGTATAATTGTAAACTTCACCAGTGTCTTACCACAGACATGTATCTTAATAAAACTATACCATTGCCCTAACCACAGACATGTATCTTAATAAAACTATACCATTGCCTTTACTCCAGACATGTATCTAAAATAAAACCATACCATTGCCTTAGCTACAGGTATAAATCTTAATAAAACTATACAATTGCCTTAGCTACAGGTATAAATCTTAATAAAACTATACCATTGCCTTTACAACAGACATGAATCCTAATAAAACTATACCATTGCCTTAACCACAGACATGTATCTTAAAAAAAAAAACTATACCATTGACTTTATTCCAGACATGTATCTTAATAAAACTATACCATTGCCTTAACCACAGATATGTATCTTAAAAAAAAACTATACCATTGACTTTATTCCAGACATGTATCTTAATAAAACTATACCATTGCCTTAACCACAGACATGTATCTTAATAAAACTATACCATTGCCCTAACCACAGACATGTACCTAAAAAACTATACCGTTGTCTTAACCACAGACATGTACCTAAAAACTATACCATTGTCTTAACCACAGACATGTATCTTTAAAAACTATACCATTGCCCTAACCACAGACATGTATCTTAAAAAAACTATACCATTGCCCTAACCACAGACATGTATCTTAAAAAAACTATACCATTGCCCTAACCACAGACAAGTATCTTAATAAAACCATACCATTGCCTTAACCACAGACATGTATCTCAATGAAACTATACCATTGCCTTAACCACAGACAAGTATCTCAATAAAACTATACCATTGCCTTAACCACAGACAAGTATCTTAATAAAACTATACCATTGCCTTAACCACAGACAAGTATCTTAATAAAACCATACCATTGCCTTAACCACAGACAAGTATCCTAATAAAACTATACCATTGCATTAACCACAGACAAGTATCTCAAAAAAACTATACCATTGCCTTAACCACAGACAAGTATCTCAATAAAACTATACCATTGCCTTAACTACAGACAATGTAATGGAGCCGCCGTGGTCTAGCGGCTAGACGCTCGCCTGCGGATCAGAAGGTCGTGGGTTCAGGTCCTGACGGGGTTTGGACTTTTGTGTCTAAAAATGACCTTGGCTTCCCGGCCTAGAGTGGGTACCAGGTACAGTTCTGGGAAGTAAATGCCGCTTGGTCTATAAAACATAGGTCTAGCCCTATATATCCAATACGCTAAAAGGCGTGGAAAAGGGTCCTTTACATTACTTAAACACAGACAATGCATGTTAATACAACCATACAGTTGCCTTAAACACAGACAATATATGTTAATACAACCATACCATTGCCTCAAACACAGACAATGTATGTTAATACAACCATACCATTGCCTTAAACACAGACAATGTATGTTAATACAACCATACCATTGCCTTAAACACAGACAATGTATGTTAATACAACCATACCATTGCCTTAAACACAGACAATACATGTTAATACAACCATACAATTGCCTTAAACACAGACAATACATGTTAATACAACCATACAGTTGCCTTAAACACAGACAATATATGTTAATACAACCATACAATTGCCTTAAACACAGACAATATATGTTAATACAACCATACCATTGCCTTAAACACAGACAATATATGTTAATACAACCATACCATTGCCTTAAACACAGACAATATATGTTAATACAACCATACCATTGCCTTAAACACAGACAATATATGTTAATACAACCATACCATTGCCTTAACCACAGACAATGTATGTTAATACAACCATACCATTGCCTTAAACACAGACAATGTATGTTAATACAACCATACCATTGCCTTAAACACAGACAATGTATGTTAATACAACCATACCATTGCCTTAAACACAGACAATGTATGTTAATACAACCATACCATTGCCTTAAACACAGACAATGTATGTTAATACAACCATACCTTTGCCTTAACCCACAGCTCTGCTGGAGAAACGATCGCCTAGAAAGCAGTGACGGAGACGGCCTGCCTCAGTCATGGCTTCAACTGATGAGGTGCGCACGGGATCGGCACGAACAGAACCTGGAGCTGGTCAGATCAGACGATGGTCTGTTTGTCTGTACCATCCGGGAGATCCTACAGGGAGAGGAGTTGCTGATCTGGTACCGAGAAACTCTTGCCCGGGAAGTCGGCGTTCCTATTCTGACGCCATGTCATATCAGAGGTAAGGCTTCTGATCTGGTTTTTTTTTTTTTTTTTTGCTACATAGTCTCCTAGGATGTTGAGAATTTCTTGAACTATCTGAGTAAATAACATCGTATAGTTAAATATTAGTTCAGCATTGCATAAGAAGAGAAGGACGTAGACACGAGGTAGACCAAAAATAATATGGAAAGATAAAATCAGAGAAACTCTACAAGAGCACAATGTATCTATAGCCGAAGCGGCTGAAAGATCAAGAAGCAGAACACTATATCTCCCCGGATACAGTGGTAAAAGAGGAAGTGAATAGGCAGAGAAGAAAAAGAAGAAGAATGGACAGACTAAACAGTATGGACAGCCTAAAGCGCACACATCAGCAAGCGCATTACAATGAAAATGCCCAGAACCTGAAATCAACTCCTCTCACGCACTACCCTACAGGTGGTCTCGTTAGTTAGCTGGAACTTTTCTGGTCGTAAAGACCAGCGGTTCACTTTTTTCGCCGTGGCACCCCTGTCGGACAAAAAACAGTTCGCGGCAAGCCTACCCTAAAAGCGGTTTGAATACTCGGGAAAAGAAGAAACAACAGTGCACATTTTATTCTTGTGTAGTTGTTTTTAATGCGATGAAAGAAATTGTTTGGATGAATTTTTCATTATTTTCTTTCTATATATATATATATAGATATATATATATATATATATATATATATATATATATATATATATATATATATATATATATATATATATATATATATATATATAGATATACGGGAAGTTGAGTTATTTTACCCTCAAATCACATGACCCATGAATACACCTGCACCCATAACTCTTCTTGGCTTCCTTCAGTCTATTTATGTTTTAAACTTGTCTTCGCTAATCTCAAGCAGATTTTATAATTTCTTAATTTTGCCGCGACACCCCTGGCATACACTCGCCCCCCCCCCCCCCCTCTCTCTCTCTCGGTGCCGTGGCTCCCAGTTTGAGAACTGCTGTTGCCGACGATAGTCCTAATTGTGCTATCCGAATTTCTTTTCTATAGCACAAAGCTTGGGCCGTATTGTAAGGTCATGTGTTGGACATGTCCCATGACCCCTCACTGCTTTGTTGACTTCGTGAGACAGGCCATACCCATACGTATGGAAAAGAGCATACTGCAGAAATGGCTGGATCAGAAGATCATTGCACTGTCTGTCTGTCTGTCTGTCTGTCTGTCTGTCTGTCTGTCTGTCTGTCTGTCTGTCTGTCTGTCTGTCTGTCTGTCTGTCTGTCTGTCTGTCTGTCTGTCTGTCTGTCTGTCTGTCTGTCTGTCTGTCTGTCTGTCTGTCTGTCTGTCTGTCTGTCTGTCTGTCTGCCTGTCTGCCTGCCTGCCTGCCTGCCTGCCTGCCTGCCTGCCTGTCTGTCTGTCTGTCTGTCTGTCTGTGGGTGCTTCACCCCTAGACCAGCTGCCAACCAAGGCTAAGAGCCTGGTCTTCTTCTTCTACCTTTCTAAACCCCCACCCCTAGTGGAGCAGAGGCTCTCAGCCAGCTTAAGTCGTTCTTTCCTTGGCCCGTGTGTCACCGGACCCACATGGGAATCAAACAATAGTAACACTGTACCCTACCAGGCATGACGTTAGAGGTAACCTAGTCAGGGAGGGTTAGGCTTCAGGTTGGCTACCTCATCCTGTAAAACCAATATCCACAAAAACTAACCAGCCATGGAAAAGTCAAAAAGAGAAACAAGAAAAACCCACCAAAAAGTAAAGAGCCCAATCTACTTCGCCATAATAATTAAATCTTCAGGACTCATTTTATCTTTATTTGACAAGAGGAGAGCACTGTTTTATATTAAATGAAATTTACCGATCCATTTCTTTGTTAAACAGGCCACCAGAAGTATGTCTGTACGGGATGTCAAGCCGTCTACACACACCCCAACACACTGAAAGCCCACATGTTTCTGCAGTGCCGAAAATCCGCAGTTTCCTCCAGCACTGACGAAGAGCACTTGGTTCCGTTCCATCTTTTGCTACAGACATTGAGCCAGTCGTCATCCGTGTCTGCTGAAAGAGACCGGAAGCTTTTGCACTCTTGTAGAAACCAAAGACTGGCCATAGCAGCGTCATCTAGGCTGCTTCCGGGTTGTTCCGGATGTGGGTTGACGGACGATAAGAACACTTACAAGTCGGCGTTTCGGTCGCCATCTTCTGCGCGGGATATTAAAAAGGAACTAGGGTCCGATGAGGGACTTATGACACCCGACTCATCAACTGACCAAAGCAGCGCTTTAAACTTATCTGTGAAACTGACTGAAGCGTGTAGTTCCATGGACAAAGTCAAAGATATATCGCTGCATGCTGTCCATCAATGGGATACGATCACTGCCCAGCACATGATGGCTCAGGCGCTACCTGTCCCCGTAGAATTCGCCAGCTTGGCAGGATGTTATCCAGTACCTCCCCATCTTCACGCTTTCGGCATCCAGCTAATGAGTTCTGGACAGGCAGCGCTACCACCAGGTCATCGTTACGACACCTCCTTTGGCAGCTCCTTATGCAACAGTGGGGAGTACTCTCTCATCTCCCCGCACATGGACGACGTGCACGACAATATCGGATTCTCCCTCTTCAAACCACAATCATCATCAGGTTCCTCGTCGGTCCGACAAGTTCGCGGAAACAATCCGTATAGTTTTTCCCTTCCCTCGGACAAAGAACCATTAGATCTGCTTCCCCAAGCTTATTTCGCAAACAAATCCAAGAAAGGCCATCTGTGTCTGTGTTGTGGTAAATTGTATTCACGAAAATATGGACTGAAAATCCACATGAGGACTCACAATGGATACAAACCACTTAAATGTAAGATATGTTCGCGACCTTTTGGCGACCCCAGTAATTTAAATAAACATGTCAGACTGCACGCGCAGGGAGAAACGCCGTACAGATGTGATTTTTGCGGGAAAGTTCTTGTTAGAAGACGCGATTTGGAGCGTCACGTGAGATCGCGGCATCCCATGGGATGTGTTGCAGAAGATACCACTTTGGGCGTGTGTGAATCGTCCCCAGACTCTAGTCCAGTGAGCGTAGAGAGCTCCGAGAATTCTATGGCATCTAAAGACCCCATGTATGAAAACAGCTGAGCCGGTGTAATGTCTGTGTTAATTTACAGTAGAATATTCTTTTATATTCTTTTTCTTCAGTGATCAACGTTTGATAAAACAACTATTCCAATATGGGACATTAACAGGACAGTGCGATGTATGGTCTCCAAAGGTGTTCCATAATTTCTGTTGCAAGAATGTTCCCGTGAGCCAGATTGTTCTCTGTCTGGCACATTATGGGAAGTCTGTAAGACATTCTTTGGGAGTTTCTTGTGGTGAAAACCAGCCATTAAAATACACATTCGGTTAATTTGCTCTATATGGTCATGCATTTTTCATTTCTCTGTGTGAAAGAACGGGTATCAACTGAGAAAAAAAGAAGTAATTGTTTTTAAATTTAAAAAAAAGATTCCTTTTTTTTTTTACGTTTCCAGGCGGTGTAATGCAAAGGTTCAGAAAGCAGTGGCAAACCTCTGAAAGTGAACTTGCCTAGTAAAACCACAAACAGTAAAAAAAAAAATATGATGAGGTTGAATTGTGATGTCTTTTAAAACAGCTTGACTCATCAGACGCACGCCACAGACGCTACAGACGCTACATGTTATTTTGTAGATAAATGAACAGACAGAGAAGATATGCGACTATAGATATAATAAACAAATAGACGAGGACTGATTGGCACTCATAGCAGGAACTAAAGACACATTAAACTGACCCTTCTCCACACTTTTATTCTTGGGCAAATAGGGCTGGAACTATATTTTATAGCGTAATCAAACACATGGTGGGTGATGTGGTCAGGCCAGCCGCATTTACTTCCTAGGATTGCGCTTCTTACCGTCAAGCCTGGGTCGACCTGGTTAGTTAGTTAGTTAGTCTTTCCTCTTGTGTCGAGTGCGGCACATAGGGCAGAGGTCATGACTCTCCATGCATGGCGGTTCGTTGCAATCTGTTGTAGGTCTTGGATGTTTGAGTGTCCCATGGTCGAGCCTTCCCTGATGATAGTTCTGCGTAGGGTTTCCCTTGGTCTTCCACGAGATCTTTTCCCCTGTGGTGTCCAAATAAGGGCGTGGCCAACATAGTTCCAGCGGCGTTTTCGTATAAAATTAGACACATACTCTTGCCTGGATTCTTGCCTTATTTATGTATTGGTTCGGAAATCTGACCATTTGAAATTTAGTATTCTTCTAAGGCATTTTTTTTTTCAAAACTGACTAATTTTGTGTCTAGAGTTTTCGTTGATTTCCAGCTCTCGCATCCATAGGTTAGTACTGGAATCACACAAGAATTGAAGATCTTGAGTTTTGTGTGTTTGCTAAGTCGAGCTGGTAACCAAGTCATTTTTGAAAAATGGTCAGGGCCCAAACCCACCACCATCTGATCTGCAGGCGAGTGTCTAGCCGCTACACCACGGAATCTCTCTAGAGACACACTAGACAACATTAAAATCGAAAGCTATAGTTACCATTCCGTGAATCCAACCTGTCACCTCCACGTGACGAAGGCGCCTTACAGTAGAAGCAAGTGCACTAAGATCATGACCATTCGGCAGCCTTAATAAATGTGTCACCGCAAGCTAGGTCTATAATAAAGATTGAACCTACAACTGTGGAATACGGACATCTTTCACTTCAAACCATTTAAAATACCACCATAAGTTACAGAAATTTATTTTAGCTAAGCATCGGCCGAATCACAAATACAAACACCAGACCTCCTTTCTATGAGTGCCGATCAAATCTTGTCCATTTGTTACTTTTCGATCAGTTCTTGTCTATTTGTTAATTATGCCTACGGCCTCAAGGATTTCCCGTCTGTTTGTTTCTTTGTATTGAGTACGTCACACTGGAACCGACCAATCATTTTTCTTCTTAAAATGTTTGTTAAACATATTCTAGACACAGCATTGGGGTCTGGTGTTTGATTTTGCACGAGAATCTGTCAAACCGTCACAGAGCATGCTGGCGCCCAAGGTGTGGTACGGAGTATTTCCTTACACACACCACGTTGGCCTTAACATTCCCTGATACTTTAATCTATAAGGCACCAATTATAGCTTCGAATGTTTCAACCAGGCATCAGTCGTTACTTTAAAGTGTTCTATCGAGCATCGTTTGCTAATTCAACGGGTTAAAACCCTATCGGTTGTTAATTTAACTCGTTCTATCCTCGTCAATTGTTTTAAAATAACTGGTTACATGCCCGACAATTGGTTACTTTAACTCCTGCTATCAGGCATCATGGTTATTTAAACCCGATCTGTACCAAAAACCGTTTTTTTTTTAATGGCTATAACCCAGTCAATTGTTACTTTAATTCTCTCTAATAGTTTTCTTCTTCTGCACTTACCAACCAATGGAGCATATGCCCTCGAATAACTTCCTCGTCTTTCCCGTGACTATACATTCAAACTGTTCGGGGTAGGAAACACGGAGACCTGTCCCTGCAGTCTGGTACCGAAAATGCTGAACATGTGCTCCAACACTGTCAACTGTATGTTGCCAACAGAGAGGCAATCTGTCCTGGTTCAACATCAATGAAGACAAAGCTGTATGGCACACGAGGAAATATGTAACTGCACGATAGCTTTCATAAAGGCTACCGGCCTCCGACGTTTTCTGACAGAAGGATCGAAGAAGAGGATGAAAATACTGGTATGCAGCCTATCCTATGTTTTCCACATCGTTATAACTTCTCTCTCTAGCTCTCTTCTCCATGTGTCTGTATGTGCGTGTGTGTGTGTGTGTGTGTGTGTGTGTGTGTGTGTGTGTGTCTGTATGTGTGTGTGTGTGTGTGTTTGGAGGGCGGCCGAGGGGGGGGGGGGGTGCTTTCATATGTATTCCCTTCTGGCTTCCAGTGCAAAGACATTCTATATAGTTATATTGTTTTCAGGTTTTGTCAACGTATCTTCTATCCCAGTGTTCATCAACCTATTACACCCGTGGCCCACGAACACAGGGTAATTTGTCTCGCGGCCCACCTTACAGCTAACCAAAGACAGAAATAAAATTAAATGTAGATAGTAGTTTGTTTGTTAAATCTGATGTTGTATAATTACACGTTTAAAGCGGATGCGACATTATCATTCTGGGATTTATTAATCCTACATAGTGCAGTCCTTGAAGAGAAAAACTATCTACTCTACCCCATTTGAAATTATGAAGAAATGTTAGATGACCCACGTGGACTTTTCTGCAGCTCACCGGTACAATAGCATATGATTTCAATTGCATTTTTAACTGCCTGACAGCCTCTCCTTTTAGAGTTTCTACAATTTCTGTGGCATAGTCACTTGCATCTTCTGTTTCAATAAATGCTTCATGCACATCATCCCTTGCAATGAAATCTTCAAATTCTCTTCATCCGAATTTCTGCCATTGAGGTTGGCATTTTTCCAACAGGCTAAAACTCCATGTTAATGAGTTGTGACAAATACAGCTTTCTTGAAACACTTCTATGTCATTTCCGCCTACACTTTATTCCAGGCAGAACGGATCTAAGAACAGCATCGAAGGTGTTCACTGGTGCAGCGAAAGAAGCTGCTTCCACATGGGGATCACAAGTCTGTCTGTCAGTAATAAGCCGCTTCAAGATCAACCAATGTATTGCAATCATAATGATGCCTTGTTCAAGATATTGGGTTTCTAAACCCGCTTTAGATGGCGGAAATTTCAGTGTCACGCAAGTGAGATGATCTACTTGTACTGTTTGCAACCGCATATAGTCGCATGTTATCAAAAATGAGATAGAGGTGAGACCTCGAAGACAACTTGTCATAAACAGCGTCCCTGTGCTGGTCGTTGTGCTGATCTCGTGTCTTATTGGTGATTGGATCTTCTTCCTGATTTACTGTTGAGGCATTGCCTGGCCATCATGGAAGTCTTGATGCCCTCAAAGATAGAACCTAGTGTAGGGTTCTATCGACGAGATTCCAAGTGCCAGCAGATCTGATGTCGCTCCATAGACTCTTTGCTGGTCTTTTCTCATTAGGTGCGTTGAGATCACAGGGAGCATACTGAAGTATTGCGCTTTTTAAAACTGTTGCAAAGTGCACATACCTTAGTTAAGACTAACTGGTTAAATGACCTCTATCGTCATCACCATCAAGTGCCTTCCCGGCGATAATACTCCTCCACAGCATACGATCTTCAACCAGTTTGTCTAATTTGCCAGTTCGTCTGTTGACACCAATCCATGTCATGACAAAAGGCTGTCAGGAATCTTTTTGCAATAGTTTCCTTTGTCTCTTTTTTTTCCACAGATCTCTCATGTTATCACAACATGTTCCAGTTTTTTTTATTTTCCATGTATGGCCAACAAAATTATAGAATTGACTGGACCCTAAGTAAAGTGTGGATCACACGGTAATATGACTTTAAAGACATCGATATTCACTAAATCACTTACGAGAGTTAGTCAATAAAAAGTCACAAATGGTTTTTAAAGAAAATCTCAAGACGATTACATCGTTTTATCAGTCCTCCCAAGCCTGCTGCATAGAAGTGTGTGCTCTGTTTTCTAAATCATATTTTCACATCACATTCAACTTCTGCGTCTTTCGTGAAATGTCAGCAGCCAAGGTGTATTTCTGGTGGACCAAAAACCACGTGAGCACAATATTGCAACTGCTACAGAGTCAACCGTTACTCGCCTGTCACCTCTAATCATCTCCTCCACCTGCTGCACGGATGCGTCTGTTGCAATCTCAGCAGGACGACCAGATCGGACTTCATCAACAATTGTAGAGCGTCTTTCAGAAAAAAAAATTCTTTACCCAGCTATGCACCGCTTTACGGCATAAACATGTGTCAGCATAAACAGGAAGTATTTCCTAATAAATTTCCTTTGCAGGCAGCCCCCCTCCCCCCACCCCCAAAGAAAATAGCACGTTGTTCTTTGAGGGTACACTCTGTAAGTAATGTCGCCATTTTGTTTCTGTGTTGCGCATGCGCATGCAACACATAGCGTCACCTGACGAATGGAGACAAAGTTCGATATTGCTGTCACCTAATGACACCTTTAGAAACCAACAACTTCAT